AAATCTTAAAGCTTAAATAAAATAAGAAGTAAACTTGAGTTAGGACAAAAATATAACAATTTCCATAAGTCTGTTGGCCCAGGCAGCTCAAACAGCATAGATACTCACACTACTGTGAGTAGTATAATACAATGTATTATATTGTATTGTTGGATTACTCTCTGTAACTCTTCCCTAATTTGCTGATTCTTGCATGTAAATAATGGCATCTTATTTGAGACGGATCCAAAATAAAATAAAGTGTGTTATGCTTTACCGTTAGAAGTTAGAACACCTTGAGGTCACTAAGAAACAAGTGTAGCTTAAACATCTGGCTGGCAAAATGCCTGCTTTGCAAGACTGTGAAGTAGGTTTACTCATTGGTTTTGACTGTCCTTCTGCTTTGGCTCCCTTGGAAGTTGTTGGTGATGGGGAAAATGAAGTTTTTGCTCAAAAAACTGCGTTTGGTTGGAGTATTATTGGGGTCCACTAAGGGACAAGGGTGTATAGAAAATGGATGGATGGTTGCTTGGTTTGTTTGTCGTACAGCGCTTTGTAATTTTATATCTATAAAAAACGCTTTATAAATACATTTCACTTCTTTACCTACGAAAAATTAAGCCAAGTTGAAAATAAGAGCTTGATTGTCAGTGATTGTTCTGGAACTTTTCTCTGATGTTTCAGAACAATTATTGGCGATCAAGTTGTTGTTTTTTTTCTTCAGTTTGGCTTAATTTGAGAAACAATGCTGTGAAGATTAAATTGTCTGCAGATCTATTCGAAACAATGAGAACTCCTCAAACATTCAACAAGCTCTTCAGTAAACAATGCTTGCCCTTGTTTCATCTGAGTCAGTGAGGAAATCTGTGCCTGGAATGACTCAAGCAGCACTATCCCACTGTGGCGCTTCATAAAGTGCGCATTGATATACCGGAGACCCTCGGGTGAAGCAAGTACGTGCAGCTCGGTGAACCCATGGTCAATTCCCAATTCACTACAGTGAACTCCCAATTCACTACAGTGAATTGGGAGTGAGTGGAGAGCAGGGCAGATTCTGACAAAGACAGAGAGAGGGAGACAATAAGAAAATAAAAAGGCAAAAAAGGCTGCAGACAAGAGAAAAGTCACAGGAGGATGCTGGCCAAGTACGATATGATGGCTCAAAAAAAAAAAACAAAAAAACAAAAAACGGGAAACTACTGGTCCTTTCTTTTGTTGCAATTACTGTTCGTCAGTCAAAGAAAGTGTTTCTGGTCCCTGAGCCAGGGAATCCCCCTCCTTTCAATTTGTCAGTGGAGGAGGAAGCATATAAGTGCTTAGACAGACAACGGTGGAACAGTTTTAAAGTAATGCATACATGTTAGTGTGCCGTAATAGTGTAAAAATATACACATTTTTAAAATAAATCTGTCACGCCAAAAATGAGAAATTTTGTGTTCATGTACAGCAAAAACATCCCAAACACAAGACATGACAGTGACACTTGCACATATAATTGGAAAAAAAAAAAAAAAAAAAAAAAACTACAAACCCTCTCAGGTTTGTGGGTCAATGTCTGAGAACTGGTTTTAATCACCACTATGCATGGATTATCAGATGTCACTGATGATAATAAAATTATACTGAATGTGGTAGATCTGATCAAGAAACGGTGTGCTCTTGACTTTATTGTCATCCCTTTAAAATTTGACTTAATGTTTAAAAATTGTACTTCCTTCTTATTTTCCTCATTATCCACTCTCCAGGTATTGCAGTTCCCATCTGCTTTGTGTTCCCCTCCCACCCCCAACAGCCCTGAAGGCCCTTGGTGCAGAAGAGCTGCAGGCTGCTTTTCCTCCAGCTCAGCCCCAAGGGTCCTTTACTGCTGGAAGTCTGGCACACCGGGCAGGCATGTTAAGAATGTGCCTCAGCACAGGCATGCAGATCCACAACCTCAGGGGAAACGCAGATTCCTACACTCAGTGGTTTATAGATTCAAAACACTCCCTTGGCCGAGGGCTTACAGTCAGAGAATACTCCATGAGGGCCCTACTGCACACACTGACAACATTCACAAAAGAATAAGTCAAGCAAGGCTTTCTTTTCCCTCTTAGGAGGGCTCAAAAGCACAAAGGCCAATCAGCAAAATGAAATCAGGGCTTTCTCGGGGGCTAAAGAGTTGTGGTATAGACAGACGCACATTCAAATTGAACATAAGAAGCCAGAGAGTTTCAATTAGTCTGTTCTTTAAGATGCCATGAAGAAATCTTTCCCTGTCAGACTAAGAAGAAAATGTGACCTGAAACTGAATTTCGGATTTTGTACCTCCACATAATTTATTTTAAAACTCAGGATACAATTGCTGAACCTGGTGCGCAGTATGAGACACAAATTCTTCCCCCACAGGACCCTTGTGACAAGCAGAAAAAAAAAAAGAGCAAGAAAATCCATATAAAAATGATCAAAAGGAGTTTTCATTAAAATCCACAAAAGAACCTACCTCTCTTTCTGACCTTTCGATTCCTGATGTTTGCCCCGAAGGTCAATTAGAATCAACCGATGCTATATATTCTCGAGGTCTCTGGCCTCTTGGGAGGCAGTCAGACATCTTCTGAACTACATACTAATGTCTGAAAGACTTGAGGAGTGACTCACCAAGAAAAAAAGTCCCATTTAGTAGAATAAAGACTGGGGGCCTTTGAAGAAAGATGATTTAATAACGTTTTTCTATTGGTCTAATGTAATATTCTAGTCTTAAATGTCATGTTTTCATCAACTGTAAGCGGAAAGTCATCAAAGTTAATAGAAATAAAGGCTTGAAAACATCAGTGTAATTAATCTACAAATGTTTTTCACCAAGTGAAATTAATTAGTGAAATAAATAAACTTTACAACAGTATTTTAATTTACTGAATCTGACTGTATAGACGTTAAGCGTATCAACATGACTTGGCCTTTCAAACATTGCAAAAGCATAATTTATCATTTTGAACCTCTAAGGCTACAGACCCCCCTTTTTGTTTTTTTTTTTACTTTTTTTTTTTTGGCTCTAGTGGCCTTTATTTGAAAGTGCTAGAGCAAAAAGGTAGGGTAATGAGAGAAAGGGAAGACATGCGGCAAAGGTCACCAGGTCGGGATTCGAACCTGTGACAGCCGCGCTGAAGACTTAGGCCTCCTTATGTGGGTGGTGGATAAATATCGGTAACCCAACTGAAAGTGAATGCAGAGCATTTTGATCTTTGAACTACGTGCTCCCCCTCCATTCGTGTGCTCGGTTGGTGGCAGGGAGCAGCGAGAGCCGATGGCATCACTGTTTAATGACATAGTGATGTGATGAAATGGTGCTCAATAACGGGAGTCAAACTAAGTTGAACGCTGCTTTTAAGTCACCTTCAAAGACCATTACAACTACAAACCCCCCAATAAATGTAAAACCAGAGAAAACCGGTGGAGACATCCTGATGAGGTAAGAGGAAGGAAAACATATGAATCTACTCCATGTCGGTGTTTTATTGACGGCATACTCTGAATCCCAAAAGTTTCTGTGTTTTTGCTTTGTTGCGTTATCAAAAATGCATTTCAAGTAGAGGATTTATAAATCGCACTTCCACCAGAATGCAGTGACTTAAAAGAGTGACACAGCTCATGGAAACTAAATGACAGAAACCCGGTTCTGTAAATTCAAAATATTGAAGATTTTCCCCAATACAACTGCAGGATTTATAGGTGTTTGATGTGTGAAGTTGTTGGTTTTCTTTTTTTTTAAACTTAACTGCTCCTTGATCTGCATGGTTAACAACGGGAATGAAAGCAAAACCACATTTTTACTAAATCGAGAAAAAAGTTGTGCATCACTGAAATACAAATTGTACATCTCTATTTATTGAGTCAGTCATTAACAAATTTTATTGGAATTAACAAACTTTGTTTAATTTGCCAAATATTGCTATTAGGTAAAAAATAATAATCACAACACTAATTTAAAAAGCCTCTAATTAACTTGTTTAATTTTTTTCTTTTAATCACATCCAACCACACACAAAACATATCTGGGCTAGAGCTCTTTGGTATCCAGAGTATGTAAACTTTTAATTCCTCACCGAGGCTGACCAGAAACATTTCTAACCCCAAAACGTAATCAACACGATCCACTTTTAAAATGGGTCATGGTCCATCTCTTTTAAAACCATCAGAGCAATCCACAGGATTTCATGTAAACGTCAAAGTAAAACCTAGAGGTTGTAATGTTCTGAAGCAATGTTTTATCTCTCTGACATAAGCAGTGTTGAATTACACCAAAGTACATATAGCTAAAGTTTTCAATGTGAGTTTGAATTCATTTACTGCCTGTGTGACTCTCTCTTAGATTAAGGCATTTCTTTTCCAGTAGTAACTAAGAAACTGATGGGTACAGCAATTGTGCCCTTTTGCCTCTAGCAGTAAAATTCCATTAAAAAAACAAAAAACAAAAACAAAACACTCCACTCAATGTTTCTTAAGCACAATTCGGCTGAACATATTCAGATTTATCCAGTGTTAAAAAAGCACCCTTCTGTCTAATCCTCATAAAGATAACTGATCACACAGTCGTTTGTTAATATTTCAATAGAGATCACACGGCATCAGTTTCCAAAAATCAATACTGCTGCGTTTTTCCAATGGAAGATCTCCGACTTCTCAGAGTAAAGCGGCGTTAAAATCTCTTTAACACCCAACAACCTCTCCGGCAGAATGAATGTGATGCTAAGTGCCTGTTTTCCGCTGGCCCTTGCCAATGTCTCCCATTGAAACTGGCAACCGGGAAGAGAATGAGCACAGAAGGCAGCGATGGCTCACATCCTGACCCAAAAATAACAACAACCACAAGGAAAGAATATGCTCGCTCTGCAGTATAATGAAGACATTTCCCTTGCTCGATATAACTTGGTGTTTTTCAATCGGACCCTCCTTGCTGACAAAAGCCCCGTCGGATTGACACAAAAATATTGGAACAGAGCACATATTTGACCAGGAAGAAAAAAAAAAAAAAAGACCTTCCTGACCTCCAAGCTGTATTCCTCCACGGTTCTCCTGAGAGGGTCCACGATCTGCCAGCAAATTAGAATGCATAAGTCGATAAGCAGCATCCCACCGACGATAATCAACAGTTTCTGGTCCTTTATGATCTGTGGAGGAAGAAGAAGACGACATGCTTACATTTTTGTGAAACATTTTAACGTGCGGGCCTTTAATGGACTAGCATCTATCTCATAAAGGTATGTTAAGCAGGACTTTTTACATGCCTTATTTAATGAGTTAACCAACTTTAATCTCAACTTATCCATGACTTTCTTTTAAAAATTTTAAGGACTAATATTCCATTTTTACTATTGTGACACAATAAAATCTGACACTTCCAGAAGACCTATTGGTCAATAATCCGTGAGAAGCTCTGCCAGCGAGCCAAATCCTGTTGCCTGAAAAGGAACCAATGCTGAGCCAGCGCTGCTCGCAGCTAAAAACTCGTCTTTTGTACTCTGAACTTTGGAAGGATGAAAGCCACGACCTGTTTGTGATCTTCATTTATAACAGCGTTTGACTGACTGAAACCATGAATCAAAAGAAAGGTCAGGGGAAGACAGGGTCACGTTCTGTTTGGAAAGTATCACATAGTCTGGATACAGCTCGCACAGGTGTCCATTTCCCCCGGAGGGCTCAGAACGAAGGGACATGAGGGGATTGTCTTTTGATCTGCTCAGTCTTTTGATGATGCAAAGACCGAGCAAATGTGGCCACGGCAAGACAAAGAATATTGATGGGTGGGATCCACAGCCCCTCCGTTAGGCATGTCCGATTTATTGCAGACAGACGTACACTAACCAGCCACTGGCAACGTGGAAGTGCATGAAACAAAGAAAAAAAAAATAGATGTGTATGCAGTAAAGCGCTGAGAGCAGAAAACGTTTATATTTATTCATGTTTCATTGCCCCAGCGTAATCTCAGATTGAAACCATAAAAAAAGGAACACTCAATCAGATTACAAGTTAAAAAAAAAACAAAAACAAAACGTTTTTTTTTTTTTTTTTTTTTTTTACGTGGGTGCCTGTAAATATGTAAAGATTTTAGAGAAAAGGTTTAAAATTCTCATTTGACACCAAGATATCTAAACACCTTTAAATGTCAAATTAACTGTTCCAAAATACTCTAATGAGGAAATACCTGGGAAGGGTATTTTTTCAAAACTATTGAAAAAAAAAAAAGAGCTTTACACTTCCATCTGCTAAACCATGATGTGTTATATTGTCAAGTGACTCCTTCAGACAAATTGTACATGTAATTGCTGTAAATTAACTGAAGTGTTACCCGTTTTCTTTCCACCAGTAATATTGGCATTCAGACATACCATTGGTGTTGCACAGATTGTTGTCTCAAGTATCCAACTTGATTTTAGAAAAACTCAAAGAAATAAAAAAGGAATATGTGTAAAGCCTTAATGAGACTGTATAAAGAGAGTGCAATAATGTTTTTTTTTCCTTTTTCCTTTCAAAAGAGAGGAATTATTATCTACTGACCCTGTGGTTTAAGCTTTGAACAAACTAATTAGTAGTAACAGTGCTTTTTTTTCTCTTTTTGATAGGTGCTTTCAGGTGCAAGATTAAATATCTTGACTATATAGGCTATCAGAACTACGCAGGCTAATTCTAGTAAAGAAATAAGAGGAAGGAAATGTAATTACTTTCCAGGAAAAGTTAAAGATATCTTTATCCCAGATCCCTTAGCTTGGGAACCATTCAAATATGCTAGACGTTTTAACAATACTTTATAAGCTCAATCGTTTTGAAAGGAGCGAGAAAAGATTATTTGAAATAGATGACAGCAATTATGTGAATTGTCTCAATTTTAATGTGCAATTTCAAGAGTTTTAAGGTGAAACAATGCATATGTTTTCAGAATGGAAGACCAATTGTACCAGTCTTGTCCAGAGATGGTGAGCATTTAGATGTCCAGCAATGAAAAATGTTTTTTTTTTTTTTTTTTTTTTTGTGCTTACGGCTTGTATCAAATTCTAATATATTTAAGCAGTAGCTGTAATGACAGTTGTGTTTCTGTTTCAACAAAACATATTTTTAATGTGTGTGTTAATACCTGAAAAGCGGTGGGATTTTTACTTCAGGCTGTCACACCCTCATGGCAGTCCATGACAGAGGGATTCTGGGAGCCTTCTCATCTCTGTCTGTACAGATTTCATTTTTTTTTCTTTTACAGAAAAACAATTCATTGGAGTCCACCTAGCAGAAACTTTATCGAACTCACTCTTGAATTACATACTCTTCCATTTTATGGAGCAAAAAAAAAATGATGAAGGAAAACTAGCAAGAAAGGGGTGAATAGTGTTGCTGCTTCGGATCTGCAGTTTGAAGAAAAGATGGCTAACACTTGTGTCTGTCCCTCCCCTGACAGCAGTTGGCAGACGTTTCAGGGCACCAACAGCAACTATCAGTCTGCTGAAGCCAAAGCACCTGCACTCAATCAATGTGGATGAAGTGGAATGTGTGTGTGTGCACGCGTCCTGCACACAAACCCAGGGCCTGAGCCAATAGAGCATACATCTTGAGTGTTAAGAGCTAAACTATGCAGCAGGGGTGAATACTGCCTCAAAGGAAACATTTGTTTTGTCTTTGTTAGCAAGGGAGAGAAGGTGAGAGGAGGGGAAGTGAGTTGAAATAATTGGCTATGAAATGTCAAAGCAATACCAAGTTCAAAGAGGCAAAACAGCTGTTTCCTGAAATGATTTAAAAAAAAAAACAACAACAAAAAACCAACTCATAAAATAAATATAAAAGGGTCAAGTTCAGCGTTATAAAATATCTTTGAATAGCTATCTTTAATAAAATGTTAGAGGTTCATGTCTTTTAACCTCTTTTGATTCATCATCTGTCCCCGGTCTCCAGATCTTTGTTTCCTCCTCAGCCTACTTTCTTTGCCATTGAGGCCAGATTGTTTGTCTTGTTCCTTACTCTGTCCTGCTTTGCTTTCCTCCTTCTGTCACGCCGCCATCCCTTCTGCCGCTATTTTTCTACACCCTCCTTACTTCTTCTGCCAGTTCAGTTACCCACCCCTTTCTTTCTTTACTTCCTTCTTTCTCTGTCTTTTCATGTTCACTGCAAGGCCACCCACCCTTCCAATAATATGGAAAATTTTGAGAAGAGAAATAGAGTGGGAGAGGGGAACAGCTATTAATACAAAAGGCCATGAAGACTTGCAGCACAGAAAGAGCAGCACTTTATATAACTGGGCCAGTGAAACAGATCGGGTCAGTTGTTTAAAAAGATGTCTATATTTCTATTTTTTTTTTTTCTTTCTTCAAAGAGACATTGTTCAAAGAAGGTGCTGCAGCCAGCGGTATTCACACACATTTCTATCCGATTCAAGTCCGGGCACCATCAGCTAAATATCAATGCTCACATGTATGTAACCTAGAAATGACATGCGCCGAATGAAGATGCTTATCGCTAAACAAAGTTGAACGGATCCTGTTTGGATAGATCTATTCCCAACTTTGCCTCAAAAGCATGTCAAAATTCTCTCTGTCTTTTAATAAATTGTGTGTAACGATCTGGAAGCATGCGTGTTTTACTGAATAACTACAGTTTTTCTTACCTTTTTCTTCATCTTCACATTTTTGAAGATGGCATGTACCCTCCACGTCTTGGCAAACATGGCACCAAAAGCAGTTGTGTATCCAACAATGAGGATCCATGTCCGGACCTGTCGGTACGTTAGCACACAGTCGTGACGTGTCATGTCGGGGTAATCAAAGCTCAAAACCAGCATCTGATCTGACAAGCATCTAAAGATAAATTTGTTCAAAATAGTGTTGCGAGGCATCCTAAAAATAAAATGCTGTCAGATTTATTTTTTACTTCCAAGAGCTCTGGTAGATCATCCTTAGCAATGGGGGCTGTCAGACTTCTGAGAGCATTTTATTTTAGTAAAAGCAAAAACAAAATGTGGACCCGTTTCGTTTTAGCACAAAACACAAAGCCGATGAGTTAAAGAAGCTTGAGAATTCAATATAATCTAAAACCTTATAATAAACGAGTAGACAGTTGTGTACTTCAGGATGACCAGGTGCCAACACACCGTAGTGAGGTTAAAAATAAAAAAATGTGCCTGTGTTTGTGGTTAAAAAAAAAAAAAAAGACAAAAAACTGAGGTCAGTTCTTTCAAAATGTTTTAGACGTGTTCCCACCTAGTGACACACAGCTTGTGCAATATTGAGGTGGAAACCTGACGAGGAAGAGGCAAAACTATTTAAAACAAATGGCAAAACAGTCTGGTTCCATATGCACGCCTGTAAACTAATACCTGGTTAAAATCACTTTTGATTTGTTTTGACCATTCTTTGTTCTCGCGTTCATATTTGGCTTCATTTACAGTGAACCCGCTGGAGTTCTCCTTTTTTTATTTATTTTATTTTTTTACTTTTCCACATTTGTATGCTCGACACCAAGTTATATTTTGCAGAAAGATTACAAATGATCAAAATTGTCTCAATGCACAAAGGTATCAGAAAGGAGAATGGTAATTAAAAAAAAGACTTACAAAATTACACATGCACAAGGCCATCATAAATAACTGGAGAACAAATGGAACAACAGGATTTTACAAAAACTGGGTTCAATCTGGATGAAAACAGATTGAAACCAGTCAGGGAGGCTAATAAGAAGCTAGCGGCATTCCTGAAGAGTTATTTTTCCTCCAACAAGTCCTGGTTGTTTTAATTCAAGCCCAGAAAGTTGACATAGAAAGAAATTTTAATTTTTAACCATAAATGCAAGTACACAACCAAATCAACAACTACAAAAAATACTTTGCAAGAGGAAAATGAATATTTTGGAATGTCCAGAACTAAGTCCGACAGAAAATCTGTACAATCACCTGACAAAAAAAAAAAAAAAAAGCCTTCTAAACTGACATTTTTTTACTTTTTTTTTTTACCATCTACCAGTTATACACCATAAAGGTCATACTATATTTTGAAAAAGTGATCATGCTGTAATCATGGTTTAATTTTTATTTTTAATTTTTTTTTTTACATCACAAAAACCTAGCATTTTAACTGGAACGTGCGCTCTTTTGAGTGACGCTCTGGCAGAGCTGTGGCTACAAATGACAAGAAAAATTAGACCGTCTATTCACTGTGAGACCAGCTCATTAATCAGCAGTACATCTATCAACCTCTGCGCTCCTCTGCTGTAGAACTTCATCGGAAGTGACAGGCTCTGTTTTGGCTCCGCAGCGCCGCTTCATCCAGGTGACGGCGGCTCGAGACGTGCCCCGCCTGTCATTACTTGTGTCTGTGATGTGTGTGTGTGTGTGTGTGTGTGTGTCGGCTGTGGCGTTATTGCGGTGGAAACTAGTCATCACTGTAATCAAAACTCCTTAATTAATCCAGTATCTACATAGTCACACGGTACAGCTACCTGAGGGGAGACGCTTAATGTGCTCTGTGCTAGCTGCAGAACCTGCAGTGAGATTCAATCAGTTTTCCCTTGATCACATGGTGCATGTGAGAGGCTTGTTAGCTACTTTTGCTTTGGCATATCTTAAATATATAAAGCAAAAATAAATAAATAAATAAAAAATTGGGAAAATAGCATGGACATTTTAAAATAGGCAATATACTGAGACAGCATTAATACCCCTTAAAATTTATTTCATTTTTTTTAGGCCTTCATACGATAGACCAAACCAAAGTATTCCATAAGTAGAAAGAAAATACTGCATGTCCCCCCGCGCCCCCTACATGTCAATCTTTGACCTGCAGTTACAGCTGCCATCTGCTTTGCACATCTTTTCACCACATGACATTTTCCACAAAGATAAAAAAGTTCTTTGCTTTGGTCTCATTTGACCACAGAACTTTCCTTCACAAGTTTTCTGCGCTTGTGGCAAATTGAATATTACTTCTTATGATTTTATCTTTTTCCAAAAATGACTTTCTTGTAGCTCTTCCAGAAAAGCTGGATTTTCTTATTGTGTGACCAACAGTTGGCCGGTTGACACGGTGATCGAGCTGTTCAATCAATCAATCAAATTTTATTTGTGTAGCACATTTCAGCACCAAGGCATTTCAACGTGCTGATGACTTCTGCAGCTCCTCCATTATGAGGGGGCTCATGCTCAGGGCAGTCTGTGTGATTAATGCTTTTCAGTCCGTTTACATGGACGGCCATGTTTCAGTAGGTTTGCAGGCTCACATTTTTTTTAATGAATTTTCTCTCTACCAAACTTCTGAAGCCTTCACAGAGCAGCTGCACACCGAGAATGTGTACTAATAAGGTGACTTCTCAAGGCAATCGGTTGCACTTTTAGCACAGGCTGTCAGAGTAAAGCAAGCCGAATAGAAATCTATGCAACATCCTTCAGATATTTATTTCCATAAATGTTTGAAAACCACACTATTTTTCATCCACTTATAAATTGTGCAGTACTTTTTGGGCTATCCGCTCAAATCTTCCAAACTCAAATTGGAATGTGCGGTTGTAGGACGTCGAATCAAACTCAAGCCTGCGTTTAATATTTAATAGGTTAATAAAAGTTTGAAGGAGACTCACAGTGCAGAGCGTCTCAAACTCTTTGTCCGAAACAAAACCTCCGTCAAGACCGAAGAGGAAAATCGAAGCGTAGGACAGCATGCCTCCTAGGATGATCAGGTTGTTCATGTATGGACTGGACATCTTGATTAGTCTGAAGGAGAACAAAACATTAAACAAAAATGGTAAAACTGATCAGCTTTAATACTGACAATACACTTGTGCAAAAAAAAAAAAAAAAAAAAAAAAAAATTAAAAAAAAAAAAAATATTTAAAAAAAGGGCTTTTTCTGACTAATT